TAGGACAGTTTCTCACTATCTCCTTGGTTTGTTGCCAAGTGATGGAGAAGCCCTCTTTCAAACCTTTACTATTTACATGATGTTTCCTATGAAATTCTGAGGCTTCTAGCACCTTCCAATTAATAAACGATCAATCTCATCATTGCCTTGTGCTAGTGGGCCTGGCAGACCTGTATGGGATCTGATATGTGTAATATATATAGGATTACTTCTGTTTCTGATTGTTTCCTGTAATTGTAGAAACAATACAGCGAAGTTAATTCTGTATTATCAGAAATGAAGTCTGCAGTCTCAATATGTAAGATGACTCTCTCTGCATATTGGGAATCAGTAACTATATTAATAGGTCTGTAAAATCCATAAGCACCATGAGAATTGCATATAATTCTGCCTTCTGTACAGATGTATACGGACATTGAACTACTTTACTTACCTCACCTGCTTTATAACCAGCCTTACCTGATTTGTTGGCATCAGTGTAGAAGGTAAGAACTCCAGAAATGGGAGTTTGTCTTACAATACGTAGAAGAATCCAGACTGTCTTTTTTATGAATTATATTCTGTCAGTTTTGGGATAGTTGTTGCTAATCGTTCCCAAAAAGCCAGTAAGAGCTATTTGCCAATATTCATTATCCTTCCATAAGGAGGAAATTTCTTTGTAGTGACCCTGCTTGTCTTAGCTTTAACCCACGACAACCATGAGGTTCTACCTGAGTGGGGATGTGTGGACCTGGACGCTCCTAGCAACCCAGCAACAATAAAGACCAAACACTGTCATCTTTAGAGAGCTCTCAGTTCCATGTTGTAGAACTAGAGTCATTTCTTTATTTGCCATCTTTTCTGGTGTTTCCTAACCATCCTGCCAATACCACGAGGGAACCATCTCTCTTTGTTCTCCTCTCTCCTCTGGTGGCTGGCCCCTCACTCCTAACCTTCCATCCTCACAAGTTACACCTATTGTCCCTCTACCCAGGTGAGGGCCTATTCAGATGCTTAGGCTCACAGAGATGCAAATAGGAGGCATATTACCCTGAGGCCATGGTAAACAATAGTAGTCCTACTGGCATTAACAATACAATAGCTTTCCAGTATTCCATGTTTAGTGAAACCAAAGGCTGGATCTCAAAATATTCCATAGCGGAAATATTTTGGTCCCCCACATTTCTTCATTAGTTAAAGGTACTATAATTTCTGCTGGATCTTTTCCAGACAGTTGACAAAGTCTTACTTTGCCCTTTAAAATCAAATCACAAATCTTTTCTATATATGTCTTTAACTTTTTATTCTGTTTATCTGGCAGAAATACCCACTCCAATATGGTATCTTTCCTCTGTATCAGAATTCCAGAAGGATATTCTCTGGATGGCAAGATAACCAGAACACAGTCTAAATCAAGGTTTATCTGATCTACATGCGCATCCAATATTCTGTTTTCTACCCATTGTAATTCCTTTTCTACATCAGCGGATAATATTTGTGGACTGTTTAGGTCCTTATCACCTTTAAGGGCAATTTTAAATGTTTTAAGTCATGCCCTTCTACCACAATAATCGTCTGTAATTGAGAAATTTCTCCTAGCAGCTTCTGAAGACTATTAAGAGTTTGATAACAATCCCTTTGAATTTGTACCTTCTGTGGCCTGATTCTATGTAAGTCTACCTTATAACCTAAATAGTTAATAGACTCTCCTCTTTGTATCTTTTCCGGGGCAACCTGAAACCCCCATCTAGGCAGAACTTCCTTCACTATGTCAAACACACATTCCAAAATTTCCTTATTGGAATCTGATAAAAGAATATCATCCATGTAATGATAAACGAGAGATTGTGAAAATTTCTTACAAATTATTTCCAAAGGTTGTTGTACAAAGTGTTGACATAAAGTAGGACTATTTAGCATCCCTTGTGGCAAAACCTTCCACTGATATCTTCGAACTGGCTGTGAGTTATTAAGAGTTGGTACAGTAAATGCAAATTTCTCTCTATCACTTTCTTGTAATGGTATAGTGAAAAACCAGTCTTTCAGATCAATTACTATGATCGGCCATCCTTAAGCTATTAAGGAAGGCAATAGCATTCTAGGCTATAGAGAGCCTGTAGGCTGAATTACTTATTTATGGCTCTCAAGTCTATCAGCATTCTCCAGTTACCTGACTTCTTTTTGATAACAAATACAGGAGAATTCCAAAGGTTGGTAGATTCCTCTATGTGTCCAGCCTCTAAATGTTACTGTACTAATTTTTCTAGAGCCTCTAGCTTCTCAGAGATCAAAGGCCACTGTCCTACCCAGACAGGCTCATCTGTAAGCCTTTGGCTCCTCTGAAGGTCTATCATTTGTACCTAGTTTCTGTACAGCCTGGATGGTTGGTAACTGTAGGGGAACCTGTAGCCACACCTGCTTAGGGGCTTACTACAGGTTCACCTACAGACCTGTAGCCAGCCCCTAAGCAGGCGTGGCTACAGTTTCCCCTACAGGTAACCATTTCCCATAGTGTCTTACCAGATCTTTTTTTACTATCCAGAGATTGTACATAATTCGTATCTGACACTGGAGGGATATTAATTTGAGTGTTCCATTGCTGTAAGAGATCATGCCCCCAGTGGTTTATAGCTATATTTGCCATGTAAGGTTTTAGTCTCCCTTTCTGTCCTTCCCGTCCAATGCAGACCACTAAGTGAACAATCTGTTGAACTTAGATAGAGTTTCAATTCCCAAAAATTTTAAATTTGCTTCCCTAAGTGGTCACTTCTGTGACCAGGATTTTTGTGTAATAATAGTGACATCAGCTCCCATGTCTAAAATGCCGTTGATAATTTTATTATTGATTTTTACTTTTAAATGAGACCTTTTATCTTTGATGGAGGTCTGCCAAAATATGTGCTTTTTGTCTTGTCCAGTCTTATCTGATTCTTCATCGCTAGTCAAACTACCATCTATAGCAGTGTCACCTTTCACAATAGACAAAGAACCATCTATTCATCCTGTGAGAGATTGTCTTCCACTGCTACTGGAAATGACCAGACCTTTTCAATGTGGGGGCCTTCTTGAGGCTCCCGTCTGAGATTCCCAGCCTTAACGGGTTCCCTTGAATGTCCCTGGTCGATCTACACTCATTAGTCCAGTGTCTGCCCTTACCACATCTTCTACACAATCCAGAAGGCAGTGGCCTTTCATGTGAGGGATCATTAGAATTTCTTTGCCTACAATTTCTCTTTATATGGCCCATTCTCCACAGCTGAAACATCTAGGTTCCTGATTATTCGTGGTCTCCTGGAGTGGGCTCTTCCTACCTGAGGTTCTAGTTCATAGTAGTGATGAAACCTGGCCTCTTGGTACCTATATTGATCCCTGTAAGGTGTTTCATCTTCCCAAGCCCTTCTGTTATCACCTCTGGAACTCTTAATCTCCTGCTGCCTTTTGAAAACTCTTGGGATAGCTTCTCCTGCCCAGACTCCAGTATCTTGCACACTATAGTCAATGTGGGCTGTATGCAAAACCCATTCTTCTAACGGAGCTGATCTGATCTTTAAAGGCAAAAGTATTCTTTTGCATATTGGGTTTGCATTATCATAAGCTCTTATATATACAGTCTTACTGCCAGATATGTTAGTTGTAATTCTACTACCCTGGATAACCTGTCTAAGTAGTCCTGGAATAGTTCTTCTGGTCCCTGTTCTATTCTGGTATAAACTTCCAGTCATTCCCCTGGCTCATGAACCTTATCCCAGGCGTTTAGTGCTTTAGGGACAGTATATGGTTGTCATATTCAGCCTGAACCCGTGGGTCAAGCATAAATACCCTCATCAAGAATCTTATCCAGGGGGGTCTTCATAACTGTCCCTTATGGCCTGGTGTTCAAGAAGCTTTTCTCCCTCCCTTTCCAATGCCTTCCATTGGATTTGACAAGAATTCTCAAGTACAGCTGATACCAATCCTACCTAATCTGTGGGCATCACCCTGTTAAAGGTTGACCATGAATGTAATAGCTGTGTTACGTATGGGCTATGAAGACCATATGAGACAACTGATTCTTTAATATGTGGGGAACCAAAATAATTCCGCTATGGAATATTTTGAGATCCAGCCTTGGGTTTCACTAAACATGGAGCTCCAGAAAGCTCCGGCCCACTATTGTATTATTAATGCCAGTAGGGCTACTATTGTTTACCATGGCCTCAGGGTAATATGCCTCCTAATTTGCATCTCTATGCGCCTAAGCATCTGAATAGGCCTGCACCTGGGCAGGGGGATCAGAGGTGTGTGAGTAACCTATGAGGATGGAACTTTAGGAAGGTTAGGGGTGATGGACAAGAGGAGAGAGGAAAACAAGGAGAGAAATGGTTCCCTCGTGGTAAGGAAAGGATGGTTAGTAAACAGCAGAAAAGATGGCAAATAAAGAAATGACTCTAGTTCTACAACATGGAACTGAGAGCTCTCTAAAGATGACAAGATGCCTGTGTTTGGTCTTTATCGCCGCTGGGTTGCTAGGAGCTTCCAGGTCCACCCCCCCCCACCCCACTCAGGCAGAACCTCATGGATTAAGGCTGAGACACGCTGGGTCACAACATTAATATGCTTAAGATCCTTCAGCTGTATAGGTTGCCATACATAAGCCACCTGTCACTGGGGGTGTTTTTTAGTTGGTGGCTTTTCTACCATTGTTGCTGGGTATACCAATGGTGTACTCGTAATGACTTTAGAATGATCAAGATACCTGGGTGGAGTAGGTGCCTCGGATTGGAGTGATTCTGTCTCCACGTCATCCCAACGATCCTTGAGTCTAGTAATGATATCCTCATGAAAAGTTTCAATCTCCTTAATGATAAAAGATTCTAGGCATGATAGTGAATCCGTTAATTGCTGTGACTGCTCTTCTATGCAGTTTTCTAGGTGTTTAATACGTTTGTCTCTTGCTAGCATCTGGGTGGCATGGAGACTGCTGTCCAGGAATTGAAGTTTAGACTCGAGGTCATGATTTGCCTCAGCAATTGACCTGATGGACCTCTCTAATCTGTTAGCCCTGTTCTGTAGGACATCTTCCAAACATTCGAATCTAGATTCAACTCTATCATCTACCATCTTGTATTTTTCAGCCATTGAATTAATGGCATTATGCAATTGTTTAAGCCTATCCTGGCTATCTTGCATCTTTGTATCCAGATTACAGGACAGAGAGCCTATCAAAGTTTCCAATTGGCTACATATATTCTTTAGTTTATCACAGTCCTCTGACTGCCTCACCTCTAACGCCTCTGAAATGAAGCATCTCTCTGCATTTATCTTGTCATAAATGCGCTGCATTTCTGCTTGGGTATAGACTGCTCTGCCCTTATCATATAAGACATAGAGCAAAGCCTATCATCTAGCTTCTGTTCTACATGCTACATAAATGTATCATGGGTCAGTCTGGTCTCCAAAACCTCATTACGTAAAGCTTGTATGTCCTGTAGGCAGGTGGTAAAATTAGCTTTATCCCTGTTCCTGGGGTATCTCTGGCTAGTGATAATGCATGCATTAGCACGCTAACAGCTAGTAAGGCATACAGGCCAATTATTGGCAGATCAGCACCTTCCTTGAACATTGAATTTACATAAGAAGCAAAAATGTTACCAATTGAGGCGAATGATAAATATTCGGCCATATTTACCAGTCAGCTTCTACTCCAGATGCGATAGGAGGTTTTCAGCTGGATGAATCAGGCTGCGTCTACTCCAGATGCAATAACCACTTTTGACCAGCAGGTGGCGCGGGTGTTCAGTTGCAGTTGTTTTTGAGTTGGACCCGAAATTTCTTGAAAAATCCTTACAGAGCGTGTTAAGAACGGATTGGGGCTCTGTTTACTAGGTGTGGGAAAACCTTCAAAGAACAGTACTGGGTGGAGACCAAGCTCTGCAGATGCAGAAGGCTCATGGCTGAGTTGGTGCAGCGGGCAGCCCAGCTGTAGGGCAGCTTTGGGACCTGGAGCTGGGAATCTTAGCGCAGGAGGGGGACATAGTATGTGCAGTCTCAGCAGAGGACGCCTGGTTTTTCTGCCAGCGGTTGCAGGCCACAGAAACTGCAGCGGCAGTAGCGCTTTTTTGGCTTTGGAGGCCCGCACAGAAAGGAAAACTTGCTCGGTTTGGTAAGGCAGGACAAAATCGGCCCAGCCATGCGGCTCTCAACTCCAGGCTGCAGGCATGCACAGGCAGCTAGATCTAAATGAATGCGTGCGGCTGAATGCGGCTGTGGTATTTGCTGCCTAAGGCAGTAAAAACCTCGAAGAAGCCTGTGTGAAATTTAAAACTCTCCCAATCGGGTGGAGCGCCAGGACTGAGTACAACAGATGCAACAGGCGGCAGGCCAAGAAGGTTTAACTCACTGTTTTCCCTGGAACTTTGGTAGCAGCTGGTCAAGGCACAAGCATGTAGGATCTCTGTGCACAGGCGGGTCGAACTCAATTGGTTGCAACACAGGGACCTGGCGTGCAGTAGTGTCGTAGAGCCCTATTGGGTCACGCGGCTTCTGGGCTGTGTGGCCTTTCCAGGCCTTTCGGCTCCAAAAGCAGAGGCCCCCCAGAATGGGGCTTGATCTGAGCACAGATGGGTGTTGGGTTCCTGTTGGGTACCAGATATTAATTGAGAAATAAAAGGATCTTGGGGTAAAGATAACCTTTATTAGAAAAACACCAGCCAAACACAAGCCAGAGCGTGCCAGGGACAGCAAGGCAGGCAGGCCAGAGGGAAGGGGCTTCCATGTGCCTTGCAGCCCCTTAAAAACCTATCGCGCATCATCCTGACCTCACCTTGACCACGCCCTGACAGGCATGATCAGGAACACCTGTAGCCAGCTTCTAGCAGGCGTGTCCCCTACAATTCATTTAAGAGGATTTTGTGTTAGTGATGAGAAAAAAACATATGGACAGCCTAATTTCTTTTCCTGCCACAAGGTCTCATTCCCTGTGGAACGCAGGGCACATTTCTTTCAATAGTGTCTTCTGCAACATGAGGGCTCTCTGCCGCTGCGGTATTTGTGGCTTAGTCAATGCCCATAAAATAGACAGCAGCTACTAACAGAAAATAGGGATTTATTGCTAAAGAGTTAAGTCTCTAAGACTTTATGTGTTTATTTGTGTGGTCATGTTATCAGATGTTACCAGAAATTACACAACCTTTTATTTCTCTTTCAGGAAAAAAAGAGAATGGATTTTTTTTTTTTTTTGAAGTCACGGGGGCATGGTTGTTTTTCTGATTCTATTTGCTGGTCATTTGGATTTTGCTTGTTTTCATTTTAGTTCACTAGCACAGCACTGTTCAGATTGTGTCTGTGATATACAAATATGACAGGTGTTTAGTTTTGCTGAGTGTGGGAGTCCACAGCTGTAATCCTTGCACTTGAGAGGTAGGAAGCAGGTGGATCAGGGGTTAAAGGTCATATCAAGCTGTATAGGAAGTGTAGGTCTGGTCTAAGCCACATGACATCCTTTTCAAATAAAAAATAATCAATCCTCTTTACTAATAGATTTTTCTTTCTCACACTGCTTCTAGAACAATTTGAGTATTCACACCGTTGAGCGGTTATAAAAGTTTCCTAGGTCAGTGTTTTTTCTTCATATGAATCAACCAGTGCCAGTAAAAGGATCTTAGTTTTGGGCATGAGAGTAGTCAAACTTGAGTTTGCAGCTGCCCACTCTTAGGAAGCATCAAGCACAGCGGATGCTCACACAAACTAGGTGTGTCAACCTTCCCAGTTATAACAGATGCTCACACACACAGGGTATCTCACCTTCCCATGTTACACACACAGGGTGTGTCCACCTTCCCATGTTATAACAGATGCTCACACACATAAGGTGTGCCCACCTTCCCATGTTATAACAGATGCTCACACACAGGGTATCTCACCTTCCCATGTTACACACACAAGGTGTGTCCACCTTCCCATGTTATAACAGATGCTCGAACACACAGGGTGTGTCCACCTTCCCATGTTATAACAGATGCTCACATACACAGAGTGTGTCCACCTTCCCGTGTTATAACAGATGCTCACACACACAGGGTATCTCACCTTCCCATGTTATAACAGATGCTCACACACACAGGGTGTGTCCCACCTTCCCATGTCATAACAGATTCGAACACACAGGGTGTGTCCACCTTCCCATGTTATAACAGATGCTCGAACACACAGGGTGTGTCCACCTTCCCATGTTATAACAGATGCTCACACACACAGGGTGTGTCCACCTTCCCATGTTATAACAGATGCTCACACACATAAGGTGTGCCCACCTTCCCATGTTATAACAGATGCTCACACACCACAAGGTGTGTCCACCTTCCCATGTTATAACAGATGCTCACACACACAAGGTGTGTCCCACCTTCCCGTGTTATAATAGATGCTCACATACACAGGGTGTGTCCACCTTCCCGTGTTATAACAGATGCTCACACACACAGGGTATCTCACCTTCCCATGTTATAACAGATGCTCACACACACAGGGTGTGTCCCACCTTCCCATGTTATAACAGATGCTCACATACACAAGGTGTGTACAACCTTCCAATGTTATGAAACAACTCTCGTCATCTACAAAGCACACATTTAAAAACCGTGTAAATGAGTAAACACGTCATCATGCCTTAAGTAGCTTAAGATGCTGTGTTGAGAACATGTGTGGATAACCCATAACACATGTATATCATTTAATAACCTTCTCGGCCTCCTATTTAAGGGGCAAAACGGGATAGAGAGCATTCTTAAATTAAGGAAAAATACTAGGTATTCCACATTGAATCTACTTGAGGATTATCAGTCATCTAATTTCAATAATTTAAGTCTTCAAGTTTTGTAATAAACTATCAACTTGACTTTATTTTAAAACCTATATGCATCAGAGGAATTTAACTGTGTTTTAAAGCAGCAATCCTCATTCTTAAGAAGTTAAAAGGGCAAAATCCCCACTATGACAATATGAAAAAATTCAGAAATCTAGTCACTAAATAAATATTAAAAAATCATCAGTAGCTTTATAAGAGAGATTCATCAGAAAGATGCAAAAATTATCCTACTTGCATGTACAACAAATGCATACAGCAAAATTGAAATTAAATACAATAAAAAGACAAATAAAACTAAATAAATATTTGAAAAATTTGAAGACACAGATCTCAGGAAAGAAAGTTACAGCCCCCCCTTGTGGGGGGAGATATAAATGGCAGTGTGAAAGCAGGGGGTTTAGTTCTGCTACATAAGACCTGACAGTTTGTCTTGAATCAATTTGTGCATTAGAACAACTTCTTTCAAAGTTTCATGAATTTTGTTTTGTGCCTTTGTCCTTTAACTATGTTTTCCGTGAAGAATAAATAAGTTAAAAATCTCAGGGGTTGGGGGAGCTCATGTAACAACATATCTATCTATCTATAGATTGATCTGTTATTTATCTTATAATCTATCATTCATCTACTGATCCATCATCAGGAATGACCTATCTACGTGCTCTCTCTATATACATATTATACTATAATATAGGTATCTACAAAAGTCATCAGAGAAGAAGTAGAAAATGATGGTAGAATTGAATTTTTGTACATTTTAAATTATGTCTTTATGAAACTAGAATAATAAAAGCATGAATTTAGCGGTTAGCCCAGACCAAAGAAGCAATGACTATATTAGAAAGTTCTCAATTCTACCTGTCTTATATAGGAAACTAACATATTACAGATGTTTTAGTTAGGTTTATGTGCATGCATCTTTTGACTGTTTGTATTTCTATGCCGTGCATGCATGCCTGGTTCCCACAGAGACTAGAAGATGGTGCCGTGTCCCCTAGAACTGCAGTTGATTGGGCGCGTTACATATTATTTCTTCTAATCTCTGTGGTGACTCTTTAATTCAGCTAGCGACATCCTGCTTTTTCAAGGTAAAGAAGCAGATGTGGGGAGGTGAAGTGGGTTGTCCAGGTCTCACTGCTAGAAAATAACAGTTTAAAAGTAGACATAGATGTAGGGGCTTGTAATCCCAGCACCGGGGAAGCTGTGACAAGCAGATCTCTGGGCCTCACTGACCAGTCTGCTCAGGAAGCTCTAGGCCAAGGAGAGACCCTTTCTGAAAACACATAGTGGACTGACTGCCCCTGAGAAACAATTCCCGAGGTGGACATCCATGGGCGCGTGGACATACACACACTAAGAACTGCACGGGGGAGGGGGTATCTAAAAAGTTGCTTGCACCTCATTGTGCTTTAAGAAAACCTGAAGAAATATTAAATATATAAATGTTCAGAGGAAACAAAAGCATAAAGACTCCCCAGATGACATTGGCCCCACAGGCATTGTGAAATAACACAAGCAAGCCCCGGAAGAAAGGGGTATGCAAAAGCTGGTACTGCTGAGTTTTGTCTTCTAATCTTTGCCAACAACACAGGAATGGTCCACCCAGGTGTCTCAAGACTTCTCACACGTGACAGGTACAACTTTAAATCCCTCCATCTTTTTCTTCTATTTCCCATTTTTCTCTTTCTCTGTGTTACTACTACAAACAGGCTCCAATGCCAGCCCTCCGTGCAGCCTGAGTCAGAAATCTGGAGCTTTTTCTGTTCTTTCTCCATGCTACACTGAATTTCTAATGATTTGCAGGGGCTGGGGAGACAGCTCTGCCAGTCAAGTGCTGCACAAGTCTGAGGATTTGGGTCGTAACCCCAACACCAGCACAAAAAAACTGGGCACAGAGGCAACTGTGACCCGGGTTACGGGGAGGGAGGAAGGAGTGGACTAACCAATCAGGGAGGGCTAAGCTTCATTGAGAGACCCTGTCTCAGGAAATGGGGAGGAAGACACCTGGTGCCAGATCTTGACCTCTGACCTCCACATACACCCCCACACACACTGGTGTGCACCTCCCCAACACACAAATGCATGCATAAACATGTTACATGCTGCGCGCGTGCGCGCACACACACACACACACACACACACACACACACACACACACACACACACACACACACGCACACCACTGATAATAATCAGTCTAAAGGACAGTCATCCCATTTTATTGGTCATTCGGCATCTTCCTTTCAAAGGAGCGTATTTTATAGAGCACAAAATTACTTTATCCTAATCGATCTTAATATTGAAAAATAACACCTCCAAGACTGTATGCCTGTACCACACAGGTAAATTTTAATCAAACATGACAGAGTCGGGGGAGAAGGCAATGTCAGACTCATAAAAGCCAGCTGATTGGTGGAAGCGACGGTGAAAGCTGACTGAGTTCAGTCACTTTAGCTGTTTGGGGTTTGCCCTGACGCTAAATGGCTTCAAGGAGCACATTTATGGTTTTGTCACAGATTAGGGAAATCAGAGTTTACTGGTATAATCGCTGACCTTCCCAGTACCTGAGTGGAAAACCACTCTGCACAGATCGCGTGAATACAAACGTGGATCAGACGCTCAGACCCTGATGGAGGAGGGCTGAAAGACACCTTCCTGGAAAACAGTCTAGCTGCGCAGTTGGGTTGAAATTTCACAATGACTTGCCCTGCTCCTCCATGGAGCTGATGTGTTGAACATGTAAACTTGATCAAAACTTTATCAGTAATAAAC